TGCCCATCTTCTAGCTCGTCTTGTAAAACATCTCAAAGCTGTCCTTGAAATTCCTACCAAAGATATCTATGCTTTTACGGACAGTACCATTGTATTGTATTGGATATATGGAACCAGTCAACGGCTGAAAACCTTCGAAGCAAATAGAGTCTCTGAAATTCAGGAAAGTTTACCTCCTGAGCGATGGAAACATGTCAAAGGAAATGAAAACCCTGCTGATGCCGGTTCTCGTGGTATTCTCCCTAAAGATATTATCAATCATGACTTATGGTGGTCAGGACCGCATTGGTTAAAATCGGATCCGTCAACCTGGGAATCGAAATTAGTTATCCCTCCTCCCCTTTGTGATGACATCTGGCATCCGAGAAGAAGATTTAAAGTTAAAAGATAAAAAGGAAGTCTCAATGCCGGTAAACACAGCGAACATTTTACCAAAGCCTGTAATCGACATCAATCGATACTCGAGCTTCATTCGCTTAATGAGAGTTGCTGCGTTCATTCGCCGTGTAGTCACCAAAAAATACCTATTTACTTCAACGCCACTAACGGTGGATGAATTACACAAAGCTGAAACATGGTGGTTCAAGAAAGTACAGTCTGAAATGTTCTCTGAAGTCATCGCTGTACTTAAGAAAGGAAAACAACTATCCAATAAACACTATCTAAAACCTCTAAATCCATTTCTCGACAATGAGGGTTTGCTGAGAGTTGGTGGGCGCCTTTCACAATCACAACTAGAATTTGACTCACCTCACCCTTTAATTCTCCATGGAAAACATCGACTTACCACCTTGCTTGTCGAACATGAACACAAACGATTGTGCCATGCAGGACCTAAACTGCTCTTAGGAACACTTCAACAGTGCTAACATATTATCAGTGCTAGAAGGATTGTTCGAAAGAGCACTCGTGAATGCGTTATCTGTCGGCGTACATCTCCAAAGGTTTCCATACAGCTAATGGGTCAACTCCCAAAAGAGAGAGTCAATCCATCATTCGCAAACGAAATAGTCTCAGTTGATTATGCTGGTCCTGTTTTCATCAAAGCCGGATCCAAACGAAGACCAATTTATCAAAAGGCGTACATTGCTATATTTGTCTGCTTGCAAACCAAATCCTGCCATGTAGAACTAGTGTCTGATTTAACAGCTGAAGCATTCGTCGCAGTACTACGTCGATTCGTGGCGAGACGAGGAAAACCACGTCAAATTTGGAGTGACAATGCAACATGTTTTACTCGAGCAAATAAAGATCTCAAGGGTTTTTATGACTACTTAAAGGAAGCAGAGACACAAGCGACTATTGCCAATTTTTGTTCTACACAAGGCATACAGTGGAAATTCAGCCCTCCTACAGGCCCTCATCATGGCTCAGTATGGGAAAACGGTGTCAAGGCATGCAAGTATCATCTCAAGAGAATTGTTGGTGAAACCAAACTGAACTTTGAAGAACTAACTACGTGTCTATGCCAAATCGAAGCCTGCTTGAACTCTAGACCGATTGCTGATTCTATCGACAGTAACGACGATGATGGGATTGCTCCGTTAACTCCTGGTCATTTTTTAATTGGTAGACCATTGGAATCTCTTCCAGATCATCCCGATACAGTTAATAAACCGATGAAAGTACTAAAACGTTGGTACTTATGTCAAGCCCTAGTTCAACATTTTTGGAAAAAATGGTATACCGAATATTTGAACTATTTACAACGTTTCAACAAGTGGAAACATGAGAGAAGGAACTTATCTATTGGAGATATTGTCGTGGTCAAAGATGATCGTTTATTACCGTGCAAATAGCCTCTCGCGAGAGTAATAAAAGTTCAACCTGGTCCTGACAAGTTAGTGCGTGTAGTAACTCTGCAGACTAAGGAAGGAACTTGTGTCAGATCCATAGTAAAGGTTTGTTTATTGTTGCCCAAAGAACAACAAACTGACATTACAAAGGAATAGTATTGTAAATGCATGCATATGTATGTTTATGTCTGTGTTAATGTTTTGTTGATGAATCAAGGCCGGCGGAATGGACACGCGTCGAACTTCATATAAGAATAATTTAGTTAACATTACGTAATGCTTTCGCGCACATGCGCAGTAGGAAAAAAGTAACTCGTGCTTGTAATCACGCTTTTAAACAAACTTAAGACATAATGTAAAATTTATATTAAAAAACACAAAACAACACAAGTTATCTCTTCCTGCATCTTTGGCGTATCTAAACATTGAGGGCACGAACACGGTTGGCGTATCCTGGTTGCCAGAGGTTCTGTATTTTTCGCCTTATTCTCGCTCGTATTTATTTTACGCGTATTATTTATTTTATGATCGTATATAAATCTCTCTTCCTTTGGTACAAAATTTGTACCAAGCACATGATTGGTTAGTTATAATTAGCAGTCACATGAAGTGATGTGATTGGCTAGACCAATAAATTAAACCTGTTCATAAATCTCAGAGAACATGATGTAAACAAAATACAGAAATAGTACGAACGTATTAAAATGGTTTACTTAGTGTGGGTTATTTGAGATTAACTTAGACTTAGTTTGTTCCGCTATAAAAAGATTTTCTGCGCTGGAGAAGAGCTGCCATCGCGTCATGACTTCAGTTGACGGCATGACATGTTCACGCTATTACAATTAATATTTGTAAAATATAAAGTGTTAGTCACTTGCTTTATATCGTTCAAGGTTTTAAATTTTGATAATTCTTTGACTTTAATAGTTATTAATATGATTTATTTTGCCAATAATTATCCGTTGTCTGTTAAGGGCAACCATACTGGCTCCGTTGCACACACATACTAAATATTTATATATTTATATTCTTGCACTTTTGACTTTATACGTTCGCTAATACAAACGGCATTCCAAAAATTTAACAATCAGTAAGGTTGCTTTTTGCTTTGCGAGAATAATCTACAGTGTTTCTAATGAATAATCTACATGTTTGGGATGCTTATTTGTATTATATTTTACACAAGACGCCTGCTAAACACTGCAAACGGTCTGAAGAGAGCTATTTTGGTAGCATGACAAACCCGGAAGTTTAAAAACGTCACAAAATATAAAACCGGTTTTGCAAGTTCTCAAACGGCAACGTCAGCATGGAAGAGAGATTTGTATCGCGTGCCACCAGAGGTTCTCTTCGCCTCGCGTAAAATAAATACGAGCGAGAATAAGGCGAAAGATACAGAACCTTTGGCAACCAGGGTATGGTTGGCGAGCCCTGGACTTCAACTGAAGATAAAATAGGAATTTTTACTAAATTGGACAAATTTCTAGTTCTAATTAATTCACATGGTTTATAGGAGGGGTATATGCTCCGGCTCCGGTCAGTTAAGAGTACAGGGATTTCCTCCTCTGCTGCATTAGATCCACTTTCTGACGGCCCGGTATTTTTTGGCGCATTGCATGTGTGGCGCACAAGATCGAGGTGGTTGATCCATTCCGACATCCTGGATTGCACTAGATACCGAAACCAGGGAAGGTGGGTATTGTGGATATCGTTGGTGTGTCGTTGTAGGAATGTATTGTTCCATATTTGCTAGTATTAAGAAGGAATACCAGCAAAGGCTACAAACTAATGATATTATTAAGAGCGATCCTAACACTCTGTGCGATGAATATTGGAAAGATGAAATTCAAACATGGCCACATCTTGATGATGGAATGCTACATTCTACGAGTACTGAAGGCAGTGGATGTTGAATATATTGGCAAATACAAAGATGAGAGAGCCTACTCATATTGGATGAGTGGATTTGTTTTAATTCATGTTGCCAAATGCCCCATTGACAAGACCACGACATTTTTTTGTAAAGCTTAGGATGTCCATCACAAATGATTTGTGATGACTCACATATACTGAAAGTGTGGATGTTAGATGCCGCGAATTTATCATTATGATAAATAGTCAAAATGTGCCGCGAATTTATCATAATGATAAATTCGGACGTGTTTAAGAATTTACTCACATAGTAAATTCAAAGGTGGGGCTCATGCTGATATACGGTATTTAAACCAATAATAACTGCATTGAAAAGCCCTTGAAAAACAGCACATAACATTGCAGCATCAGTAAAATTAGATTACTATACATACCCAGATGACTGAGAAAATTAAGCATAAAAGTTGCACCATATCCGCGTTTTATCCTTTTGGATAAAACGCGGACATGACTAAAAAAGGGTGAAAAAGTTTTTGGACCAAAAATGACATTTAGCGAGAATATAAGCCGTCCGTCCGTCATTCATCCGTCCGTATCCGCGTTTTATCCTAACCCGTCGGGAATTATCGGCAATGTTGGAGTTCTTGAAATATCAACTATCAAGAGTGTTTTTAATCATTGAATTATAAGTTTCCAATGACTAAAATAATTCTTGATATTCTAAAGGTTAGGGGAATGGCCAGGCATTGTCGATAAAAACGCCGCGATTGAAGAATGCATTCAGCTGTTGTAGACCTGAAATATTAAAACAGCCATAGCGGACAAAGTATATGATCTAGTACAGGCTGATCTTGGTTAAATATAGAAGTAAAGAAGCATATTTACTGGACCCTATGCTACCTAATATGCAGTTAGCAGTAGAATAATTAATCTGGAAGCATTCCAATTATTCGCCCGAGCATTTTTATTGACGACAAAGGTATACTCATTAAGGTCCAGACACCGGGACGCGATTCGACAACGCGACGCAATTTTTCGATTTTCACTGACCGACGATAACGTTGATCCTAGTTTAAATTCTCCAAATATTTAGAAGCGCTATAACATTTTGAGTTATTTGGTTTACATATCTTTTAAAATTTGCTCTCATTGGCTCTTTTATTAACTTTCAAAAACTAAAAAATCGCGTCGCGTTGCCGAATCGCGTCCGGTGTGTATGGACCTTTACTGGTACCGACCTATAATACATGAAACGAGGGGGTATCACCTTGCTTCTTTTGTGAATTTAGAGTGTGTCTTCATTTGTGAATTCACACGCTGCGTGATTTATCGTGTGCGATTCGTATTCTAGCGCATGCAATCGAATAACCAGACTCTAGGACAGCACGCAAGCTACACGCAAAGTGGTTGCATATAAATTAAATGAGCAGGAATTGTGGCGTCAACAGCAATTTTCATGCCGCAAAATACGAATCTCGGCACAATAAATAGCAGCGTGTAAACGTACCTTAAATGAAGTTGTTTTGCAGCGAGGGTTAAGAGACGATAAGCCATGTCGAAGTAAAATGAAAATACTTTTCTTATCTGATCCAAAAAATAATAATTTAAGGTAGCTCGGAGACCCCTGGGCCTTTAAATATAATATCTCGAACGTAGAAAATACAACTAACTGTGAAATACAAAAATAACTTTGAGGTTAACCCAACCAATAAGTTTTCAACCGGTTAGCCTAGCTAGCTGAAACTCCGGCGCACTGTTCGCAAAATGTACATTTCCAAGCCTACAAAATCGTTGTGTCATCGTTTTTTTATTGATATGAGTGAAACAAAAATGTTAAAATCATTAGCAGTAACTATTAATTGTTTAAAATGTTCACGAAGTGCAACTACCATATCAAAATAACAAATATATTTGGTTACTTATTATAATCATGCCTTGCAATGTTTTTCTACGCTTCATGCAATGCAGACTGCAGTTAATAGTGTTAGTATTAATAAATGTCACTTTGTTCAAGCATCCAAATCTTTCACAAATTTTTTAACTCTTGCGCCGAGCTTATCAACAATTGCTTGACGAACTTGTGCGTAAACTTCCTCATTCAGTGTGAAGGTATCAGTTGACTTTTTCAACTTGATCGCAGAATCTTGGTAGGTGAAGAACAGGAAATCGTAGTTGACACTCGAAGCATTAAAATAGGAAGCGATGAAGGCAACGGTGACTTGGCCGCTTTTGTCCACGGTGCAGGGAACGATTTGGAAATTACCAGACTTTCCGGAACTGCTATTGGAACCGAATAACTTGAGAGTGTCTGAACTGGAATTCTTGAGAGCCTCGAGTGTCTTCTTTGTGGCGTCTACCAGGAGCGGTTCCTCATCACCAACCAATGACAGCAGCAACTCGACCACCACTTTCGAAATTTCAAATGACTCTTGCTTTGAATTGTACTCGGTAAACGTGAAATCTTGCACAACCCAGCCAACGTTCATCAAGACGTTGGTGTATTCCTTGTACCATTTGTCGCTTTCAGTCTGGCGGTCATGTTTCTTACTTGCTGCTAACTGGGCCAAGAGCGTGGAGTTCAAAACATCTGCTTTGTTCTGCCCAGTCAGCTTTTCAGTGAAGGAAACCAAGCCACCAGCATCTACATACCCTTCGCTTTTATTGCTACCTAACCTAGGTAGTTTACCCTTGGAATGGAGTACATGTTCACTGTCAGCAAGCACAAGAGAATTAACGAAACGTATAGGATCCATTTGTTTTCTTTCCTGCTCGACTTTATATGCTCGCGCTGCTTAATTGTTGAATATGAAGTGAGTAAAGCCGTATGCAACATCATTTTTATAGCAAATGCAGCGCAGTGCGAATTTCGTGCAAAAGCAAAAATGTGCGTCATTCGTTAATAGCCTTAACACAGATAATTGGCGATCGTTTAATTTAAAAAGTTCTTACTTCTACCAAGATAGGCTGTAATTAGAGTAATTAATTCGGCAACTGGCAGGTCGCCAAAATACAAGATCACGCACGAAGAATATGTTGCTCTACATTGTTGTTCTGGGTTCTGGATATGTGGCTAAGTATAATTCATACCGTTGTGCAACTTAATCCAGTTTAGAAAAACGTTTGTAGTAGCTCGGCTTCATTTATTTCCAGTATAACTTCCATTTAACCAAATCAGGTAAGCCGGCAAAGCGGAATTTGTTGACAGGAGACTGCAGAATCTTTAACAGGAAGCAGTGAAACAATTTTTCGAATAACGGAACTGTATTCAAATAGATACGGCATAAACTTTGGAACTATAAAGCCCCAGAGTTTCAGACAGGAGAGAGTGAAATCAAGTCTTGACAATAGACAAATAGACAGCTGAACAGGAGAGTAGAATGCAGGCTAAAAAACTCTCCAATCTACTGTGAAAAAGTTCCATTCACTATTTATGAAATATTCTGTACTCGCACTGTCAAGAATTTCGAATACTCGTTTCTAAAAAGTTCCCCTCTCTATTTATAAGACATTTCTCTCTCCCACTGTCAACAATTTCTATCTGATTTTTAAAAGGTGGCCATTCCTCACTGCTGTAAAATTCCACTCTCTATTTATAAAACATTTCCTTTCTCTCGCTAATTTCGCTTTCTTTTTTAAAAACATCCGCCCTCTATTGTCAAAAAGTTTCGCTCTCTATTTACTAGAAAATACATGCATGCAGAAACCCCTGGCCTTGCTGGCAAAACCATTGTATTTCCCGAACATGAAGTATTTGAAGTAGTTGTCATGTTAACACGATGATTTTGTTAAGAGTATTTTTACAAATGAAAAATCCCGTAAAAAATATTACATTTAATTCCAAGATTATCAATTCCCCAAACATATATATTAGGCATGTTATTATACGTAATACAAGCTTCAATTTAAGGTAAAATTCAATTTCAAACGCTTCGCAAGACGTTCTCTAAACTGCCTTTATCGTAAAACTTTGATTTTGAAATAAAATGATTTCAAATTCTTGCATTCAAACAACTTTGCTTTCCATTTTATTTAATAATCTTAATATAATAAAAAGGGTAATCAATAAAGAAACACTGAAATTACATGCTGTCGTTTTCATTTAAAATATGCGCAACGATCAGCTTTTAAAGCAATTACAAAGCGCACAATACATCAATATTTAAAACAAACATACCTTCGTTAAAGGATTAGTGTCACACCAGGAATTCTCGGGCTCAAACTCCTGATGGCGGCCATTTTTCGGGACGAATAGATTAGATGATCTAGAAAGTTTCTACAATCCGTCATATATTTGAACCATTCTTTTATAATCCTTGCTTTTTTTGTCTGATTTTTATCAAAAATGTACCAAACAAGGTATGCAGGGTATCGGTATTTGTTGTATTTGAGTAAAATGTAAACAATAGCAAAAGCCCGCAATGCATGACCCTGACACTAATCCTTCAACGTCGGCGCCTTTACTCCCTTCCTTTAGCAATTCTTTCACCTTTATTTTCTTAAAAAGCTTTTGAAATTCACAAAATCGTGCAAAAATGAATGTATTTTCAAAAAACATCAAATCAAGAAACGTTTGCTATTTCACATACAGTCGTTATAATGCAAATTTTAAATTTGACCAATCAGTGTTCGCTATTCATGACAGTCCGGCATATTTTAGAGATCAGTGAGGACAAGCACCCGCCGTTGGTCATCCACGCCCGCGATCATTGATGAACTTCAGCCTTGGCTCGGGGATGAAATATTTCTCTCTCTCATGCACTGTCAAATAACACTGTCTAATATTTGAAAGGCGGCCACTCGCTATTGCCAAAACCATTCCCCTCCCTATTTAGGAAATATTCCTCTCTCCCACTGTCAAATATTTTGTTCTCTTTTCCAAAACGTGCCGCTCTCCGCTGTCAAAAAGTTCCGCTGTCTATTTATAAAACATTCCTCTCTCCCACTATAAAAAATTTCCATCTAATTTTAAAAAGGTGGGCACTCCCTATTGCTAAAAAGTTCCGTTCCCTATTTATAAAACATTCCTCTCTCTCCCACTGTCAACAATTTCGTTATCGTTTCTAAAAACGTCTGCTTTCTACTGTCAAAAAGTTCCGCTTTCTATTTGTAAAACATTCCTCTCTCCCACTATCAAAAATTTCCATCTAGTTTTAAAAAGGTGGGCACTCCCTACTGCTAAAAAGTTCCGTTTCCTATTTATAAAACATTCCTCTCTCTCTCCCACTGTCAACAATTTCGTTTTCGTTTCTAAAATCTTCCGCTCTTTACTGTTAAAAAAGTTCCGTTCTATTTATGAAACATTCCTCTCTCCCACTGTCAAAAATCTCCATGTAATTATTAAAAGCTGGCCACTCCTACTGGCAAAAGGTTCTACTCTATATTTGTAAAACATTCCTCTCTCCCACAGTCAAAAATTTCCATCTAATTTTTAGAAGGTGGCCACTCTCTACTGCTAAAAAGTTCCGCTTTATTTATAAGTCATTCCTCTCTCCCACTGTCAACAATTTCGTTCTCGTTTCTAAAAACGTCCGCTCTCTACTGTCAAAAAGTTCCGCTCTCTCTTTATAAAACATTCCTCTCTCCCACTATCAAAAATTTCCATCTAATTTTTAAAAGGTGGGCACTCCCTACTGCTAAAAAGTTCCGTTTCCTATTTATAAAACATTTCTCTCTCTCCCACTGTCAACAATTTCGTTTTCGTTTCTAAAATCTTCCGCTCTTTACTGTCAAAAAGTTCCGCTCTATTTGTGAAACATTCCTCTCTCCCACTGTCAAAAATGTCCATATAATTTTTAAAAGGTGGCCACTCCCTACTGCTAAAAAGTTCCGCTTTATTTATAAGTCATTCCTCTCTCTCAATGTCATCAATTTCGTTCTCGTTTCTAAAAACGTCCGCTCTCTACTGTCAAAAAGTTCCGCTCTCTATTTATGAAACATTCCTCTCTTCCATTATTGTTAAAAATTTCGTTTTTGTTTTTAAAAGGTTCCGCTATTCAAGGAATTCTGCTTTCCACCATCCAAATATTCCACTCTTGACTCCCAAAAACTTTAGCCTCCTGCTATCAAAACGTTCGGCTATCTATTTTTAAAACTATTCCGTTCCCGATTAATTTTTAAAATTTCGACTTGCTACTGTCAAAACGTAGCACTCTCTAATACTCAAAATTTCACTATGTACTCTCAAAAATTTTGGGTGTCTTATTTTTTTTTAAATCTTGCTCTCGACTTTGAAAAAGTTCTATTATTCATTTGTTTAGTGTTGAGCTCATATTATATAAACAACATGTTTGTTTGTAAACCATCTAAACTGAATCTTTTATCCAAAATTTAGAGAAACTACATTTTTGTTTATCAAATTGTTATCTTTAAGCACTTTATAATATAATATATCACGCTCCCCCATAAAATAAATTTCAAATGAAACAACACATATATAATGTAGCCGTATCAGTCGAACTGCACTATGAAATTGTGTAGAAAGAAACGATCAAAGACACAGTATTTCGACATTTCTATGGTGACTTAAATCTGACGAAGAAGAAGATTTAGATTCATAGCAATAGAATTTCTGTGGTGACGCTAGTTTAATTTAATAAATTAAAAGAGCTACAACCATAGAAACTCGTATCGACCTCACATTATATTGGCTTGGATTGGATTTTATAGCAATAACAACGCCGCGATTGAAATGAATAATGCATTCAGCTAGCACTGTTGTAGACCTGAAATCTTAAAACAGCTATAGCGGATAAAGTATAATGATCTAGTACAGCTGGCTGATCGTCCTAAACAAATCTTGGATGAATAGAGAAGTAAAAAAGCATATTTAACTGAGCCCTAAGAATGAAGCTATCATGCTACCTATGCAGTTAGCAGTAGAAGAATTAATCTGGTAGCATTCCAATTATTCGCCGAGCATTTTTGTCGACGACGAACGTGGTATTACTGGTACGGACTTACATGGAACGAGGTAAATATCACCTTGCTTTTTTTGTGAATTTAGAGCATGTCGCTGAAACACGCCAGCCATGTAAAGGTACGTATGCATGCGGTGGTTTATCGTGTACAATTCCTATTCTAGTGTATCTAATCGAATAACCACGGGTGAAGTTGTTGCATTTCAAATTCCGCTTTAAAATGCGACTAACCACTAATATGACTTTTGCTATGTGTTTACTATTTGGGTCATTTGAAGAAGAAATGTAATATATCTCTACAATAAAAAATCCTATCTTGATTAACTTTTTCACTATTAAAATTTCCGGAAATGATGTCATCAGGTGAATTGCAAGTTAGTTTTCCTTTTTTTTGTACCAATGAATATTCACCTAATAACATCATTTCTGGAACTTTGACAGTAAAAAAGTTGATCAACGTGAGGTTTTGTACCATAAAATTACATTACATTTCTTCTCAGAATGACCCAAATATTACACATAGGCTACCAAAAATTATATTTGGGGATAGTCGCACTGTAAACTAAATTGGCAGGAATAATGTGGCATCAACAATAATTTTCATACCACAAAATACGAATCGTATACGATAAATCACAGCGTGTAAACGTACCTTAAAACAAGTTGTTTTGCAGTGCCTATTAAGACGATAACGGCATGTCGAAGTAAAATAAAAATATTTTTCTGATCTATCCAAAAAAATAATAATTTGGCGGCTCGGAGACCCCGCGAACTTTAAATATCATATCTCGAACGGTTTCTTGCAGTTTTGTAGAAGATACAACTACCTGTAAAATACAAAAATAGGTTGGATAGTGCTATCCACCAGATAGTGAATTTTTCAAACTTTCTAAAAATGCCTAAAGGGCATTGAAAGCACTGATTACTGATTTAGACGTAATTGCAATAAATTATAGTACAAAGAAACTTAAGCTATAAAATCCAAGCCTGCAATTTAGCTGTGAGAACGATACGAATTTGGTCATATGTAGCTGTAGCTCTTTTTATTGAAACTACCATGACTACAGAATATATATATATATATATATATATATATATATATATATATATATATATATATATAATGCTTGCAGTTTGAGCGCTTTGGCATGGTTTTGATGTCCCACACTCGTGAGGCATCAAAGGTAACTGTATATAGCAGTTTCTTTCATCCTGCTCATCAGCACTACACTGATAAGGCCCATAAGGCCGAAACAGTACTGTCTGTAGTATATATATATATATATATATATATATATATATATATATATATATATATATATATATATATATATATATATATATATATATATATATATATATATATATATATATATTGAAATTCTCAACCGATGCATTACTCTTACAACGTGGAAGGCAACTTACTTAAAACAATCAACAAACAAAAAGATCTTGGTGTTATAGTCTTTAAAGATCTTAATTGGAGCCTCAACGTCCAAGCCGTCTCAAATAAGGCCAACAAAATGTTGGGGTTCGTGAAAAGATCGTGTTTTCATGCAAGTGACCCTAAAGTACGAAAGACCCTGTATTTAGCCCTAGTAAGAAGCCAGCTTGGTTACTGTAGCCAAGTGTGGGCTTCCCAAACAACCTATGACATTCAAACCCTGGAACGAGTTCAGCGTCGAAGCACGAAGTTTATTTTATCTCTTACATTTCAAACAGATATTTCATATCCTAAAAGACTCGCTAAACTCAACATTCTTCCAATTACCTACTGGCATGAATACCTGGATCTTGTTTATCTATTCAAATGTATTTATGAAAATTCCGACAAAAATGTGAAACTACATTCACCAAATCGTGTAACCAGACGCTCTAGTTCTACATCAGGACTCCTTCTTCAGATTACCAAATCAAAAACAGTAACCTTTCAAAACAGTTTTTATATCAGAGCATGCAGAACGTGGAACACTCTACCAATATCTTTAAGAAACTTAACTTTATTGTCTTCGTTTAAACGTTGTCTATTTAATTACTATTTTTTATTAACTTCTAATGTTTATAACCCAGAATTGCCGCACACATACAAGACTGTTTGTGTCAAATGTCACAAAGCCCGTCCTTTAATTAAATTGGATTCACTCAGTGACACTTTGTGCTGCTAGTGCCCTTTCTTTATACTATGTGATGACTTTTTGTTGTTTTTTGTTGTGATGCACTATTTAGTGTTTAACTCTTTGCAATTGTATACAATATTTCTATGTATTTTACAACTCACGCGGGGAACCCGTTATTGGAGCTTCGGCTCTGTGGGTGCGCCCTTCCTGTTCTTGGGTAAATTAAATTATTGATCTTCACATGGCACTCATGTCCTGTTGACCATACCTTCAATCATTGTTATATTTCTGGTATGATTGTAAAGTTAATAAATAAATAAATAAATAAATAAATAAATATATATATATATAATGTATAACTCAGTTTAAATGAAGCCGAGCCATGACATACGTTTTGCTAATCTGGTTTAATTAAGTTGCACATGTACAACGGTAAGAGTTACTGAGCCATAATATGCAGGGGGTTAGTTGTTCGAAGCCCGTTTAGGCTAAACGGTGTGTCGAAAATATTGATCAAGTTTATACATTCATCAAGTAACCAAACTAAAATATTTCAACTTGAGTAGGACAATTATGTTTGACATGGCCTGAAATCACGGACATGATCTATTCTACTTCCTTCGTAATTTGCGTTGAAATATGGCTTCTGCAGTAAACAGTAAATTATATTACGCGATGCTGTAAATTCCAAAATCAGAGAATATGGTAGGTCGCTTGCAACTTGCCTCAGTCGCTGGCTATAAATCAAAGTCTGTCGAAGCATTTAGCGTAATGTTGACTTGATTTTAGTTAGTGACTATTCTGCATTTTCAGTATTTGTACAGAGGTTAGTTCGTACGGAATTTGTCTATTTAACTCTATATAAGAATACCGCACTATTGCCACAAGAAACAAACGAACATGCAGAGTAGGCAGTAACTTACACCAGGCAAACACTACACGATATATTTCAACAGACCGTGTTCTGCAACCAGCAATCGAGGCAAATTGCAAACGACCTACCAATATTTCTGATTTTGTGATTTAAAGCATCGGGTAATATAATTTACTGTATACTATACCGAAGCCATATTTCAACGGGTTATGTATTATGATATGCAAATTGGTAAGGAAGTAGAATAATCATGTCTGTCAGTGATTTCTGGCCATGAACTATATATTTAGTGCATGAGATTTAAGTTCAGTCATTTATAAAATGTGCGAATCTGGTATTTAATTTTGACTTACCACCGTTTAAGCTAAACGCCTTTCGAACAACCGACCCCATAACAACGAGTGTCCCTATATGTCGTGTGTCGTGTGTCGTGGGTTAAAAGTCGTGTGTCGTGGGTAAAGTCGTGGGCAAAGTCGTGGGTAAAGTCGTGGGTAAAGTCGTGGGTAAAGTCGTGAGTCATAAAATGTGCTAAAAACGCATTTTTTCATATTTTTATTTTTAATATTTTTTCGTACTTTTTCATTTTATGCGCTAGATAAATACAGGAAAATTTAACGCAACAAATCTCCAGTAATAAAACAATTTCTTATCTTGCTGTTATCTATAGTATAACAAGTATAAATGTTTCCGTTTCGTATAGTCTTATAATAAGTCTATAAATGTATCGTTTGATGATAAAATGTCCTACGTTATAGGATATTAGGATATAGGTTTATTAGCTTTGGAAGTGTTATAGTCCCTATCATGAACGTCGCGAATAACTAGCTATGTCGATTGCATTATTTGCATATGTCTGATGCAAACATATTGAGCTATAAACTCCACGTGGCCAACGCTCGAGCCTCAAATTTTGCTATTTTATCTCCTAGACCTAGTATATGTTCGTGGCCCTTTAAAAGTAGACAAACATTTCATGTGTATGTGGCGTTCGGAAATATTCCATAAATTGCTACGATTTGGGATTTCGCGATTGAAAGCGAAATGATTTGTGCGATGTCGCCATGTCGGGCTATTTGCCAACCGAGCGCGCTAGCCGCTGTTATTTTGACAGAATATGATACCTCTACACTTTTCAGCCGTAATCAATAATGCGCGGATTGTAATCATATACATATCGTTTAATTTAGCTTCAAAAGCTTATTTTGTCAAATGTAAAATGCGCAGCATGTTGCGTACATTAATATCAAAGAAAAAAGGTTGACTTTATTATTTCCCGTTACATACATGATTTATATCGAGGTGGCTTTGCATGTGCTCTGCCTCTGGCAACTATGACACCATTGCGCTCCGCGGGAACCAACACGAATAACATGTTTTTTATCAAATTTTTGAAGCTAAATTAAACGATATGTATATGATTACAATGCGCGCTGAAAATTACGGTTGAAAAGTGTAGAGGTATCATATTCTGTCGAAATAACAGCGGCTAGCGCGCTCGGTTGGCAATTAGCCCGACATCGCACAAATCATTTCGGTTTTCAATCGGGAAATCCCAAATCGTAGTAATTTATGGAATATTTCCGAACGCCACAAACACATGAAATGTTTGTCGACCTTTAAGGGCCACGAACATATACTAGGTGAGTGGTCTGGGAGATAAAATAGCAAAATTTGAGGCTCGAGCGTTGGCCACTAATTATACAGGCACTGCAGCGTAAAATTTATAGCTCAATAGACAATATGTTTGTATCATACATATGCAATCGACATAGTATTCGCGACGTTCATGATAGGGACTATAACACTTCCAAAGCTAACTGATAAACCTATATCCTATAACTAATTAAGACATTTTATCATCAACTTATACTCTATAGGCTTATAGACTATACGAAACGGAAACAAAATCAAACATTTACTTGTTGTACTATATATAACAGCATAATAAAATAACAGCAAGATAAGAAATTATTTTATTACTGGAGATTTGTTGCGTTAAATTTTCCTGTATTTATCTAATGCATAAATGGAAAAGTACGAAAAAAATATTAAAAATAAAAATAATATCTTCGTGAAAAAATGCGTTTTTAGCACATTTTATGACCCACGACTTTACCCACGACTTTACCCACGACTTTACCCACGACTTTTAACCCACGACACACGACATATAGGGACACTCCATAACAACAATAAGAGCAACATTTTCCTCGTGCGTGATCTTGTATTTTGGCGACCTGCCAGCTGCCGAATTAATTACTCTAATTACAGCATATCTCGGTAGGAGTAAGAACGTTTTTAAAAGATCGCCAGTTATCTTTGTTAATATGAACGAATGACGCACAAAACAAAAACGAAATTTGCACTGCTATAACAATGATGTTGCATACGGCTTTATTCACTCCATGGCATATTCAACAACCAGCGAGCATAAAGTCGAGCAGGAAATAAAGCAAATGGACCCTATACATTTCATTAATTCTCTTGTGCTTGCTGACAGTGAACATGTACCCCATTCCAAGGGTAAACTACCTATGTTAGCTAGCAATAAAAGCGAAGGGTATGTAGATGCTGGTAGCTTGGTTTCCTTCACTGAAAAGCTGACCGGGCAGAACAAAGCAAATGTTTTGAACTCCACGCTCTTGGCTCAGTTAGCAGCAAGTAAGAAACATGACCGCCAGACTGAAGCCGACAAATGGTACAAGGAATACACCAACGTCTTGATGAACGTTGGATGGGTTGTGCAAGAAATGGAGCCAGAGTTTACCGAGTATATATCAAAGCAAGAGTCATTTGAAATTTCGAAAGTGGTGGTCGAGTTGCTGCAGTCATTGGTTGGTGACGAGGAACCGCTCCTAATAAGCACGCTAAAGAAAACAATTGACGCTCTGAAGAATTCAAGTTCAGAGACTATCAAGTTGTTTGATTCAAATAGCAGTTCTGCAAAGTCTGCTAATTTTCAAATTCTTTCCTGCACTGTAAACAAAACTAGCCAGGTAAACGTTGCTTTCGTCGGTTCGTATTTTAAAGCGGCAATGGTCGGAGACGACTATCTATTTGTCACCTACAAAGATTCTGATATCAAGTTGAATAAATCGACTGATGCCTTCACACTCGATGAGGAGGTGTACGGAAAGGTCCGGCAGGCGATTATTGAAAAGCTTGGCAGAAAATATGAAAGCTTTGTCAAAAAAATTGAAATTTAGCTTGACAATTTAGTTGATGAATGCACCTTGTAACTTTATGGACACTTTTAAAAATATAGAATAGAATTTTAGTAGTCAACAGCCTAAATTTTAAGTTCTTCTCTGTTCTTAAAATTGGGAGAATTGAACTGACGTTGCTTAGATGCCAAAGTCAAAGCATATTTAATATACTGCCGCATGTCTATACTGCAGGGTGTACAGTAAGTCTCAATTTCACAAATCCGTTCATTTCATTAAATTTGAATTGTTTGACGAATAAATATAGATTGTTTGACGTATAATGTAGAGTAGGCCTAATTGAAACTTTACTTAACGTTTCTGTCACTTACGTTGTCGTTGCGGATTTGCTTCCTTGAACTGTGTAGGGTTGAAGACAATTACTTGATGCATGTTATCAAGTATTGGATGAGGCTGAGCATGATATTTAACAATTAGACAACGAAGTCGAGTTGTCTATGAGCGAATAGTCAACGAGGCGAAGCCGAGTTAACTATTCGTTCAGAAACAACGAGGCTGAGTTGTCTAATTGTTTTAGTATAAACCACATAAAGAAAGCGGAATTTTTCACTTGATTTTTATGTAAAATTATAACGTTTTAACGAAATGAGCGTTTAAATGGCTATGTTGACAACTACTCAGTGTTGCGAACTCTCAAGAATGACTTAAAAAATACTGCAGCTTGTGAGTTTAAAAAAAGTTAAAAAACATGTCGTAAAACAGTATAATAGTAAGAGACCGTTATAGAAGCAAAGTTTGGTCAGTTAAACTTATTTAAAAGAAGGAAACAAGGCTTAAAAACTAAAAAGTCCAAAATTTCGAACACAAAATGGCTTCCCGCGAATTGTTACTAAACAAGACGCCTCAGGCGTTCACACTGGCCTGAAAATAACGAGATACGTGCTATGGTGCAAAAGGCAGGAATACAAATCTTAAACCGCAAGCAAATTTTATGGACTTTTTAAAAAAACCTTTTCGGGAGACGTAATGGAGATCGATGCACGTGCAAATCATGCCGACCAACAGAATCGATTTACGGTTTTTCCTAACAGCGCGTTGTTTTCATGTGCGTTCCATGGGCCGCGCTAAAAATATAAATATTCTGTAAATACCGAAATAAAAGATGAGAATCTCAAGACACAAGCTTGAAAATAACACTATAAATAATGTTTTCGATTCTGGTTCCAATAACATTATCACGAAAAGGATATGTCCAAAGGGGCGGAAGTTATGTTCGACAAAATGTATGGCTAGTTTACATTGTTTGTTGTATTATGAAATATGATACCATACTTGTATTAAAATTCGCGTCGAACTATAAATGTTATTGTAAATGAGTAGACTTGCCACAAGTCGACCTCGAACGAAATGCGTTTCTTCGAGGTCGACTTGTGGCAAATCTAGCAAATGAGATCCATACAAATGATACAATAATGGTTCTAGTTCTTGTTGGTATTTTGAACGCACGCTTTATCTTTCAGTATACTGTAGCTATCACAAATCTTTTCGTGCGGATTATATTTCGTGGAGTACTAAATATTATATTTTGTGGTTTTCGAGTCATTACACAAAGAAAAACACATTAATTCAACACGCAAGAAAGTCCAGAGTACGACACAACGTAAAATACATAGGAAACCGGCACAATTCTTTGAAAATTCAACGCAACTGTGTAAAATATAGTATGATCACTCTGTGAAAAGCCGCCATTGCAGTTCGGAATTGTGCGCGTGCGTACAAGTGTATAGGCTAATGACGAACAATGTACCACAAGCATGGCATGAATCGGCTAGTACGTACATAAATACGTAATTTGTTGCTATTGTATTTGAATCATGGAACGGAGGGAATCGATGGCATTTTGGCTTAATCGTTGCACCTTGAGCCTGCGATGCGCTAACGCAAACTCGATTTCTCGACTACGAAAAAAACAGAAAAAGAGGGATTTAAGACACTTGGCCTACAGGCCAGTGTAATTAGTAAATAAAGTTTACGTTAAAAAGCCGAATAAAAATGCACACACATGCAAAATAATCCGATTATCCGAATGTCGTTGAAATCTTTAAAATATCTGGAACATAAAGAGGCAAACCATTTCCATAGTCTAGTATATATAGACAATAGTTTAGACTAAAATTTATTCGAAAAACTCGACTTAAAAAGGCGAAAAACAAACTCGGCTAAAATCTCAACATTTATACGAAAAAACTCTTTAAAATGACAGCTAAATACATGAACTCGTACTTAAAACAAACACACACTAGAGGTTGAGAAAATACGGGTAAATAGCTACAAAGTATTGTCGAATTTCAACGATGCTGCTTGGAATATTAACAAACAATAATTGTGCATATATTTTAAAAAATCGCCTGTCACTTTCATGCTCAAAACAACGAGCAAAGTTGAGAAAACTTAAAAATTTTACCGCATGTGTCAGCAGTTTCCAAGAGTCTTTGTTTGTGTGTAATCCAGAACCAAAACTAGGCCATTTTGATAAGCTTTTTCCCTTTAAATGCAGCTTTTAATGGCATATAGTATAACGCGGACTGGACTGCACTGGTAAAACGCGGACTGGACTCAGATTAGTAAAACGCGGACTGGACTCTATTAGTAAAACGCGGACTGGACTCTGTTAGTAAAACGCGGACTGGACTCTATTAGTAAAACGCGGACTGGACTCTATTAACAGGTGGGCAATTTGTCTGAGCATGCGCGAAGAAAATCAATATGGCGACATATATTAGGAGTGTTTCGTGAATTTATCTGGTTTTAAAGCTGATAAAACAACATTTTAATGAACGAAAACTTTGTAATATTTAGTGGCAAACATTAAGCTATGCATTCCAAAGGTTTTAAATTGAAAATAAGTACTTTTGCTATATATTTTTTTCTTTTTATGCTTTGAAAACAGGCAAGCTCATTTTTTTGCAAAAATCTAATCTAATATTTTACCCATCATTTGTTTAATCTGAACAGAAATAGATAGAACACTTGGCTATATAAGTTACAAAGGTATTGTTAGCTTATCTGAAAGATTTCAGTATTCCTGGTACACATTTTAACAAAGAATGAAATGCAATTTCAAAAATTAAATATGTATATCACAAACAATGGTTTTTATTAGAACAACACATAATAAGTTGTTATTTTCTATTTTTACAAAAACAAGTTTGGAAACAGGATTTAGTCCTCCAGCTTGATGCCATATTCCATGTATTTGTATATTTCAATAAAGGAATGCGAAATAATAATTTGATCTTGTGCAAAATTTGATACCAACACACATGTGAACAGATACTATCACCTAAAAATAAAAGAAAACAAAACTTAAATTTATCATCTAATACTATGAAAAAAATCTTAGATTCTACAGGCATATAGTGAGCACAATTCTTTAACAAACTCACTAAAATAAGTCAAGTTATACTATGATAAGAGGATGGCAATAGATAACAGCATCAAATGTTGTCATCTTCACATATATGTCCAATATAGCCATCGGTTGTCAGGTGGTGAAGATGGTGTAAGATGGTGTCAGATGCTTTGTTTGTCAGACGCTTGTAGTGTGGTGTCGGATGGTGTAGGATGGTTCAGCTGAACAGCTGTTGTCAGGTGGTGAAGATGGTGTCAGATGCTTTGTTTGTCAGACGCTTGTAGTGTGGTGTCGGATGGTGTAGGATGGTTCAGCTGAACAGTTGTTGTCAGGTGGTGAATATGGTGTAAGATGGTGAAGATGGTTTAGTGG